GTCCATAAATACAGGTAGTCCTCGACTTACAACAGTTTGTTTAGTGACCAAAGTTACAACGGCATTGAAACATGTGACTTATGACCATTTTTCACATTTACAACCGTTTTGGTACTCCCATGATCATGTGATCAAAATTCAGATGCTTGTTGCAGTGTCTTGAGATTATGTGATCACCTTTTGTGACCTTCTGACAAAGTCAATGGGAAAGTCAGATTCACTTAACAACCATGTTACTAATTTAACAATTACAGTGATTCAGTTAACAACTGTGGCAGGAAAGATCATAAAATGGGACAAAATTCACTTAACAAATGTCTCACTTAAGAACAGAAATTTTGGGCTCAATTGTGGTCGTATGTCGAGGACTACTTGTACAACACAAACTGTAAAGTCCTTTCTTACTAGTATATTAAGAAGGGACAAAAGAATCTAACTTACATTCAATATCAAGGTACATGCTCTTTTGATGCCCTCCAATTCTACTCGCAGCTTCACAGTCATATCTCCCCCAATCTGTCAATTTCACATCTTTAATGTGTAGTGATGATCTTCCATGTTGTCCTCTGACTTCTATTCGACCATCTGGACTCTATTTGTAGAAAAAAAAATGTTAAGATTAACAATTGTAGAATTGTTACATATGACTTCACAATACCTATTTTATAAATTCTTTGTAATACACACTTAATGCATAAAATAAATATTAGTAAAAAGAAATCCTGTAGATACGAAAAAAGAAAAAAAAGGATTTGCCCATAGGACTTAAATTATTCCCTAAAGTATTCAATCTTTTATCAACCTGAATATAGGTACCATATGCCATTTGTTACATATTATGCTTATGACAGTTTTGGTGGAATTGATTTTTACATGTGACACTTGAATTTACTTATGCCATGCATCACAAATTCATATGGCCATCTATCAATATGCTCTACATGAAGCAATAAGAACAATTAATTATTTAAATATACTTCTATTACATGAATTAAAAATAATATTTTATTAAAGAACACTTTTCTGATTATAGATCATAGAATACTTGACATTATTTTTTAAAAGTTTGGTAAATTACAAGGCATTCACAGTGTAATTAATATATCTAGATACAGAGTCGGTATTGGACATTGTTAACAAAAATTGTTCTGTACATCTGAATATAGCCACTATATATGGTTAGAAATCCATTACTACAAGAACTATTGTTTATATATCATTCCTTGGCATATTAAAGATAAATCTTTAACAAATTATAATTATAGAATTGATTGGCCCAACAGCAAGTAACCTAGTTATTAATATATTATATCATTAAAAGCATAATCATTAAAATGATTTAAAAAAAACACAAAAGGGATGTTTATCAGCTTTGTAGACTGAAAGTATTTATCACGCAAGTGATTTAGTCAAGTCAATTCCATTACAGGTAGCCCTCTCTTAATAACTTCAATTGGGATAGGCAACTCCATTGCTCAGCAAAATAGTCATTAAGTAAGAATTCATATAATCATGATAGACTTACAACCTCAGTTCCGCTGTGGACAATAAGTGAAACATCATGTGATCCCAACTTGGCACAATCAAGATCCAAAACCCATTGTTTGTTTAGGTTTGAAATGAAACAAAACCCACATAAAGTAAACACTGTAAGGTTGTTATTAATTGCCCTTTTTCTCATCTTATGTTAGAAACTGCAGTGGAAACTGCAGTGCTCTACCCACTTCCCTATCATCCTAGCATCTTCTCTTGCTTACCTGCCTTTCATTAGTGACCAATGTTTGTGTGTGTGTGTGTGTGTGTGTGTGTGTTTTGCTAACCTTTAAACCATTTCTTTCCAGAACAAAATGCCCCATTCTGTTCTATGCACAGATTAAATGTGAAAGATTCAGGCACAGAACAACTGAACCTGCTAGTCAATGCACAAAACAGTTTGTGCACATAAAATTCTGAATATCCCTAGGTAGAAAAAGACAAATATATAAATCTTTGATAGGTTGTCAACATAATAATAGTTAATGCAATTTTATAAGCACTGTAATTACAGTATAGAATCAGTTCTACAATTCATTATCTGCCATCAGGTCAATGCCAACTCTTAGTAACTTACAATATTTCCAGAAAACCACTTTACATATTTATAGCTCAACGTTTCAGCAAACACACTTTATTATCATCTATGGCATATTAATACATTATAGGCAATTATTATTTTGGTTTCTCTACACATTTTCTTAGAAATACAATACATGTAATATTAATTGTCAAGTAAGTTTAGATTCCACTCTTTAAGCATTGAAATTGGTGGCACTCTTTTACTGCAATGAATCAAATTTGTAAGAAAAAAATAAATTTCTACATAAGCATATTCAAATTAAAAATATTGGCAACCAAAGATCCCATTGCCCAATCCCTTATGTTAATGGGCCTCTTTGCAAAAGAGCCTTGCTCTTTGGTTTCTTCCAAAGGAAGTTGTAATTATGGAATTTATTCATTTTAATAAAACATCTCATTCTGGAAGTATCCTTCCCTTTTATCATTGCACAGTTATCTTTGCTGTAATATCTATATTAGCAATAATAACTATAAATAAATTTCAAAATTGTTGTTCTGTTTTTATATTTCCTATATTTCCCAAAATATTAATGCATTATAAGAAAACATTATCTGGACAATGTTATTAGTGCCTTCACAATAGTATTAGTGGGCCATCAAAGCATACAAATATATGGATTGCCCACCACTAATCAACAGCAAAGATATACAGAAATTTTTTTCTTGATCTCTAGTGGTTTTATGGATTTTACCACTTAGATTTAGTATGGGTGGCAGAGAGAGATTGATAAATAACAAATAATATGTACATTTCCAAGAACAGAAAAGATAGACTCTAACTTCTTTCAGTGTTTTAGTCAAAATTTGTGACCCCAATAAGAAAAGTCACTTCCTTCCATTATGGTAATTTTACTTTTTTAATTTCAGTAATAACCTCAATTGAAAATACATTTTTACATTTTTTCACTTCTAGTCTATTGAAATATGCATAATTTTGTAACTCAGTCAAAGTGATGAATGTCCTTCCGTCATCATATATAGTTGTTCAGTAGGCAGATTTTTCATTTTGACTGCAACATAAGAATAGCTCAAAAAGTAATTCCTTTTCCTTCTGCTTCGACATAATATTCTCTGCAGATTTCAGTGGATATTAATTGGATTCTTCTGGTAACTGTATTATATTGTCCACCAATAAGAATCTGCAGGAAACTGTATTATTCCTGTCCAAGAACACGATTCTTTCAACAGAAACAACATTTATTGTGTTTAATTTGCTCATGAGAAACATCAGGTAAAATATGCTAGTATTTGATTTTTACTTTTTTTAACTTTCTTTACTCATTTGTCATAACATTTTCAAATACACTTCTTTTGGCTTAGATCTAGAGAATGCCATGTGTCACCAGCCATAATGACAGGAAATAAATTTATATTATGTACAATACTGCCATTTCTCAAATGTAAGTTGCAAATCACAAGATTGGTAGCTTTGTGGTACTTATAACATCCACCAAATAAATATTCATTAACTAAAGTAAAATAATTTAATATCTAAAACATTGCTATTAAATATAGATGGTAGGAGAGCCAAAGCAATATGATGCCTTAGATAAAAATATACATTATTATCACTGCTATTATTTAGTTCAACCACTCTTTCACAAGCAAATAAAAGGGAACTATCTCTGAAAGTCAAGAATATGCTACACTTATGCATTGAGGAGAATTTGTATCACTGGATTTCAAAATAAATTTGAATCCTTAACAGAGTATACTATCATTGTCTTTGTAACCTATCAATTTGTCAAGGAATATACTACTTGGTGAATTAGTATCCATGGGACAGATGAATAAATAAGTACTGTTACTTATAAGTCACTCAGGCTTCAATATTATACACAAGGACTTTCACCTTAAACAATGAGCTAGTTCTTCAGTAGCAGAACAGCAATGGAAACAGAAAATGCTATCTGAACTGAAGGCATTATTAAAATTCCAGTGGTTGAAACAATTGGTCAAGATTTCCTAGGATGAAAAGCTACCTTTGATGAGTAAGGGCTGTTATTCACAACAGCCACTAATGTGGAGAAGCTGATGGAAGCTTCCTTCTGGGATATGGATGAAACATTCACAATATTTCCCACATTCTTCAGGTAAATGCATTCTATCCATGCACCTGTTGGAAACAGCAGAAAATTCCAGAGTATTGCCACGTGTATTATTGTCTACTGATTCAGTCATGTTTACTTCACCTTGTATTTGAAGCATGTGGCTATGTTTTCAATGGAACACCTTGAATCAAATCTATAAGTCACTTAATTTCTCACATAAATACAAATTATTGCAACATTTTATAATTTTCTAAATGAGCTGGTATAATTTCCTGTCCATAGGTAAAAAAATTATTTGTTGTAATCCATTTAAGAAATATCTGATATTAAATCATTACAAAAGGATTGTTTAATTTTTGTTGCTTTGGCTTTCTGTCCATCTTTATAACTAGCAGCTAATTTCAAAGATTGGAAAATGAGAATGACTTTTTGGATGCACCAAAACTTACTTAATAATTATCTGTTATACACCAGTACAATAATACATTTTTAAGAATATAAGATATGATTTAAGAAATGGTAGCAATATGAGATATGATTAATTACTATTTTATGCTGGTGTTTTCATGCAATATATTTTGGTAGGTTATACAAAGAGGTGACACAGGGCATTGTACATACCAAAACCAATATTATTTCTTCTGTTCTTGTAAGAGCCAGGATTGGTGAACCTGTAATTATAGGAAGGTAAAAAAAGGGGGAAAATGAAGCTAAGGGACACTTTAAATACTCGTAATAATAAATTAGCCTAGAAATAAATTTGTTTAGAAATGTTTGGATAATATAAACTATCAATACTATTTCTCTTGAGTAATGACTAGCCAAAAAACAATATTGAAAAAATGCTGTTATTCAATTTAAATTTGTAAATTCCAGCCAGAAGGAAAAAAATGAAATTATTTCAGGTCATTACCTGAATCAGTGAGACACACCATTCCTCCACTATAGAAGTTATATACTGTAACACTGTATATAAGAATCCATTATATTTTAGGTTTGGGAGAAAAAAAACAGAATCCCATTCTGCTCTTCATTTTCCCTTCTTGTAGCTTAGCATTTTCGTAACACCACAAGTAATGATTTTCAATCACTCCTGACAGTGCCCTTTTATCCATTGTTATGGTTCTAATTTTGAATTTTTTAAAGTTTCATAGACAGATATTTGTACTGAATGAATACTATATAACCTCTATATTGATATTATCAAAATGTCTCTAAGAAAACTATATTTAACTTTTTACAACCTCAGAATGTTGCATTGCAGATTATCCTCATGGTTTCATTTCCCCCCTTAATCCTTAAGCAACTCACAGCATGGTTCTTTCAAATTCATATGTAGCATTAAAATACAGTATTTTGAGCAAACTGCTAATTATTTCTAAAAAGATTATAAAGTTTATTTTTGCCTTACATATTTGAGCAGAGT